CACACCACACCAAACGCCCACCGAAAACACCGCACCCACCAACTAAACCCCACACTCAACACCTCACCATAAACCAATAACCTTGGGCACTAGAGCATGCCCTGAAGAGCCATGTCTATACATTTCTTAAATCCCTCCAGGGATGGTGACTCCACCACCTCCCTGGGCAGGCTGTTCCAGTGCCTGACCACTCTCTCAGTAAAGTAATTCTTTCTAACATCTAATCTCAATCTCCCCTGCCCCAACTTCAGACCATTTCCTCTGGTCTTGTCGTTCGTCCTTTGGGAGAAGAGGCCAACACCTGCCTCTCTACACCCTCCTTTCAGGTAGTTGTAGAGGGCAATGAGGTCTCCCCTCAGCCTCCTCTTCTCCAAACTCAACATGCCCACTTCCCTCAGCCTCTCCTCGTAGGACTTGTTCTCCAGACCCCTCCCCAGCTTGGTGGCTCTCCTCTGGACACGCTCCAGCACTTCAATGTCCTTCCTGCAGTGAGGGGCCCAGAGCTGAACACAGTACTCGAGGTGAGGCCTCACCAGTGCCCAGTCCAGAGGCACGATGACTTCCCTACTCCTGCTGGCCATGCTATTCTTGATACGAGCCAGGATGCCATTGGCCTTCTTGGCCACCTGGGCACACTGCTGGCTCCTGTTCAGCCTGCTGTCCACCAACACCCCCAGGGCCTTTTCTGCCAGGCAGCTCCAGCCACTCTGCCCCAAGTCTGTAGCGTTGCCTGGGGTTGTTGATCTGGCACCAACAGTAAAACTGCTTCAACTATTGATTTGTGGAGTGCAAGTCAGCGGTCCCCTGGGGCGCTCTGGGCAGCCTTAGTGCAAGATGCTACGCCGGTGTCAAGCTTGGTGGTGGTGGTCCCATCTCCTGGGAAGGCATGGGTAAAGGGAACCATCCTTTCCAGTCTTCCTCTTTATCCTCCCCATCTCCCAGGTAGGGTACTGCAGCTTTCTGGAGTTAGATGAACCTGTGGACTGAAGGTCAGACTATTTTGCAAGTGGGCATGGACTTTTATGAATAGGGTAGGTAAATGCATCTAGGCAGTAGAAACTTCTTTGGGTGACATGACCCTGCAATTTCTGGCTGCTTTGGGAAGAGCCTACTGCCTCCTTTGTATAGCAAAGCCTTAAAAGATACTGCAGTACAGCAGGAGGTTACAAGCTACAAAGCTCCTGAGCTACAAAGGCATGGCTCAATAGCCTGTGTCCCCATGGCTTGTGCTGAGGCTCACAACTTTTTGACACTTATCTGGGGTGAGCTTGCAAGTGCAGGATTTCTTACTCTCTTTCAGAAGAGAGTGTTGCATGCTCTTTCTGAGCACCAAACTGAAACTGTTCCCCTAGGTTTCATAAAGCAAAAGGTGGCAGTGCTAGATTTTGATTGTCATTAGCCAAGTATCTTCTTACTCTTCTGTGTAATAAGTGCCACTGACAGAGATTTTAATTCGTTCGATACAGGGGTTCAAGTCTGGTCAGAGAATCATTGTGTCAATGTATTTGCAGGTCTGTCTGTACCCTCCAATCCATTCAGTAGAAGAAATGTAGAAATGGAGGTATTGTGAAAAGTTTCTTCCTTGAAACAACGTTTTGTTTTATTTCCCAGAACTTTTATGGCCATAGCACTTCTGAGGATGATGTGTAGCTGGACAGTACTGAGCCGCTCTGACAGGTAGAATTAGTTCCTGGAACAGCTATTGCCTTAGCAGCAGAACTGGGAAAGCAAGGGAAGATATTGGCAGGGTTGTGGTTGTGATTGGCTGTGATTCAGCAAGAGCTGATCCAGTAGGCAGTCCTCACTGTTCCTGGGAAGCTGTTCGGTGAGATAATGCCACGAGTTAGGATACTGACCCTTCAAAAGGGCATTGCATCCCCAAATGCCCCACACCCCTGTTGGAGGGGCGAGTTGGAAACTGCATTGGTCTGGGTCCTTTCTGTGCAGACCAGCAAGGACCATCTGTATGTTGTTAAAACAAAATATGCCTTTGACATTGTTTTGTTAAGGTTTGAACAGGATAATATCTCGATCTTCTGACATGAGCTCCTTTCTGTCAGGTTGTCTGTCTGTCTTGGAAATGGCTGAACCTCATGAGGTTCACCAAGAGCAAGTGCAAGGTTCTGCACCTGGGCTGGAACAATCCTCACCATCAGTACAGACTGGGGGGTGAGGTACCAGAAAGCAGCCCTGAGGAAAGGGACTTGGGGATGCTGGTGGAGGAGAAGCTGGACATGAGCAGGCAGTGGGCACTTGCAGCCCAGAAGGCCAATCCCATCCTGGGCTGCATGAAAAGCTGCGTTGCCAGCAGGTCCAGAGAGGTGATTCTGCCACTTTACTCTGCTCTGGTGAGGCCTCACCTGGAGTATTGTGTGCAGGTCTGGAGCCCTCAATATAAGAAGGACATGGACCTGATGGAGCAGGTCCAGAGGAGGGCCACAAGGATGATCAGGGGGATGGAGCACCTCTGCTACGAGGACAGGCTGAGGGAGCTGGGGTTGTTCAGCCTGGAGAAGAGGAGGCTCCGGGGAGACCTCATAGCGGCCTTCCAGTACCTGAAGGGGCCTACAGGAAGGCTGGGGAGAGCCTGTTTAGAAAGGCCTGTAGTGACAGGACGAGGGGCAATGGCTTTAAGCTGGAGGGGAACAGATTTAGACTGGAGATGAGGAGAGGGTTCTTCACTGTGAGGGTGGTGGAGCACTGGAACAGGTTGCCCAGGGAGGTGGTTGAGGCCCCTTCCCTGGAGATATTCAAGGAGAGGCTCGACGAGGCCCTGGGCAACCTGGTCTAGTTGGGGGTGTCCCTGCTGACTGCGGGGAGGTGGGACTAGATGGCCTTTGGAGGTCCCTTCCGGCCTGGACAACTCTATGGCTCTATAACAATATTCCTAGAAATAAGATTAAGACTCTTGGGGGAAGAAGTAATGTGCATAACAGGGAGCCACCAAGTCAGTCCTCTTCGGCTGAGCTTCCCATCCCTTCTCAAAGCTGCCACGTAGGGAAAGGAAGAATCCAGGCTCGAAGGGCTGCTCTGTCATCACAGGTGACAGGCTTTGGGGTGGCGAAGGGGTTGTACTCCTTAACCCAGTACAAACGATACCTGACGTAAGAGGTGGAAGCGCTATTTAAAAGCACTGCGTGGAACTGAGTCAGCTGAAGGTCAAAGGAGGCCTTTTGGCCCCAGAACAGGTTAAACGGGCTCCACCCCCATCAGGTCTGGAAATGAGGAAGTCTCCTGTCACCGGTGTGATTCTGTCACAGGGCTTTGCAGGAAGCAGAGCTGCTGGGAAGCTTGGATGCTGTTGGAGAGCAGAGCCTGCTCTGTCACCTCTTTCAATGTCCTTCTCCCAGCCCAGCCACTAGAAAAGAGCAGGTTAACCCCAGTGAGCTGGCACCCCTCCCCAAGGCTGGGGGCTCTTTGCAGCTGTACACTGGAGATGGTGACTTGGCCCATTTCATAGAATCATAGAATTGTCTAGGTTGGAAAGGACCTTTAAGTCCTTTCTAGGTGAGTCGGACTTATCTAGTCCGACCATCAACTTAACCCTGACTAAAAAAAAAAACCCACATCACTAAATCATGTCTCTAAGCACAATGTCAACCCATCTTTTGAACACCTCCAGGGATGGTGCCTCAACCCCTTCCCTGGGCAGCCCATTCCAAGGCTTGATAACCCTTTCAGTGTAAAATTTTTTCCTAATATCCAGCCTGAACCTCCCTTGGTGCAACTTGAGGCCGTTTCCTCTTGTCCCATCACCTTTCCTTGGGAGAAGAGACCGACCCCCACCTCTCTACACCCTCCTTTCGGGGAGTTGTAGAGAGCAAGAAGGTCTCCCCTCAGCCTCCTCTTCTCCAGGCTGAACACCCCCAGCTCCCTCAGCCTCTCCTCATAAGACTTATTCTCCAGACCCCTCACCATCTTTGTTGCCCTTCTCTGGACCCGCTCCAGCACCTCAATGTCTTTTTTATGGTAGGGGGCCCAAAACTGGACACAGCCCTCAAGGTGGGGCCTCACCAGTGCCCAGTCCAGGGGGACCATCACCTCCCGAGTTCTACTCACCACGCTGCTCCTGACGCAGGCCAGGATGCTGGTGGCCTTCTTGGCCACCTGGGCACACTGCTGGCTCCTGTTCAGCCCACAGTCCACCAACACCCCCAGGGCCTTTTCTGCCAGGCAGCTCCAGCCACTCTGCCCCCAGCCTGGAGCGCTGCAGGGGGTTGGTGGGACCCAAGGGCAGGACCCGGCCCTTGGCCTTGTTGAACCTCATCCCATTGGCCTCGGCCCATCCATCCAGCCTGTCCAGGTCCCTCTGCAGAGCCTTTCCACCCTCCAGGAGGTCTATACTCCCACCCAACTTGGTGTCATCTGCAGACTCACTGAGGGATCCCCTCATCCGGATCATTGATGAAGATGTTAAAGAGAACCAGCCCCAATACCAAGCCCTGTGGGACACCACTCGTGACCAGCCAACAACTGGATTTAACTCCATTCCCCACCACTCTCTGGGCCTGGCCTCCAGCCAGTTTTTAACCCAGTGGAGAGTCCTCCCATCCAAGCTACAGGCAGCCAGTTTCTCCAGGAGGATCCTGTGGAAGGGGATGTTGTCTAGCTCAGCTCCCGGAGCTCCCTGTGCGGCCGTGCCTCCGTGGTTGGTGGTGCAAGTGGCAAGGCTGATGGAGACCTATTGGGCTCTTGGTGGCTGTGTATCTGACCTGGAACCGAAACATCCGTGAGGCACCGAGTTGGCTCTCTGAAAAGTGGAGAGCAGAGTTGGGAAGTATCACTAGCAAAGGGTGGGTTTTTTGATTATTAAATGCACTGAGGCAGTGTTTCTTCAGAGGAACTGTGTATAGGTGTTTGGACACATCTGAGGAAGATGGGTGAAGATATTCTTTGAAAATCACAGCCTATCTTTGATTAACTATTGCTTTCTTAGGTGACTTTTTTTCCTGAAGTGAATGCTGTGTTTGTGAAATTAATGTTTTCTTTCTTTTCAACAGTGGGCCACTATACGGATAGAAAAAGGTGTCAAAAAGCCCCAGCCCCAGATGCTAAAGACTCCTGCTGCTAATGGTGAGAGCTCGGGATAAAGTCAAGTTGATAAAACTGAAGAAGGAGCACAGAGTCCTTCTCAAATGCAGAAGTTAGACGTGTACATGGAGAACTGGAGAAGAGGTTGGGTGGTTGTTACATCTGGTTGTTTTGCAATGCCCCTGACACAAGAATTGTTCCTGCAGAATGAAATACTTCTTTTACTGGCTTGTACTGAATGATTGAAAAACCAGGGGATGAGGAAATTAGGGGTATGAAATGACACAATTTTAACAAAACAAAGTAGAGCGTAAGATGGGGACTGTCCTCAATTGAGAGAAAATTTTGAGTTACCATATAAGCTTGATTTTTTGTCTTGAAATCTGTCTTTAAATCACTGATTACAGGGCTGCTGGTTAACTCTCTCAGTCCTAACAGCATCAGAGTACACTTAATCTCTGAGAAGATCTAAGTATTTAGTGGACAGCACTTTTCTTCCCCAAGCTGAGTGATTTTTCTGTTGTAGGACTCCTGAATGAATGGAAGTGTGTAGTGTTAGACTTGTTCCCTTTGTTCAGTCTGCTGCTGTTCACTTTTTGACTCCTGGAGTTACCTCAGTGTTTGCCAGATGAACTTCTTACGCTCATTGGCTGTGGAAAGGGCAGAGTAAGAGTTGCTTCACATTTCTTCCTTTAGCCTAATTTTGAAATGAGTTATTTTACTATATCTTTACCCATGCCGCGCGTGTGTCGTGGTAGGCTGTACTAGGTCAGAGTTGGCTGTAAGGCTTTGGAGCTGGAAGCCCAGTGAGAGCAGTCTGTTTGCCCAGAAAATAGAAGGCTGAACAAGGTGTTGCAGTCGGCGTTTGGTTTTTTCTCCAGATTCCCCACTGCTGTGGTATCACCATTGACTTGAGTTTGACTGCACTTGGCAGCAGGGGCAGCTATTTTCTGTGTGCTCCCTCGTTAGGCAGCACAGCTGGAAACAGGACCAGCTTGCCAGTTAGCATACAAGTTGATGGTTACCCGAATTAGCTCATGTGAACAAGGTACAATAAAGAACTGCTGAACTGATAGTGTTTTTTCATCTCCAAAGGAGTATCCTTATCAATACTGTGGGCACAGTACCAATCTGTAAGGCCAAGTGTGAGACAAGACTCCAGTGGAAGCAGATCAAACTGTCAGTTAACACCTGTAATAATAAACTGAAAGTACTGCACAGCAGCTCTTCAAATGGGTTAAAATTTGTCTTTTTAAATTGCTGACTTTAAAGCGGCTGAGAAAAAGGGTGTCCTGTATCACTCCTGAAAGTGGTGGGGTTTTTTGGGGGTGGCAGGAAGGCAAGATGAGTGGTCCTTCCAAACAATGCCCTGCTAGCTAGGTTTCACAGGTTGTCAGTGATGCAGCAAGATATTGTTTTTCTTCCTGGAAGGATGATAGTGTCTCATCAAGTCACAGGTCAGCGAGAGGGCAAGAGACCCAACTCAGCTGCTTTGGTCACGCAGTAGGAGCTCTTGTTTTCCTAGACATCTGGTCATTCTGGCACACAGTTGGTATTTTTTTGTTTTCTTCTCTAGAAAAGAAAAGGGAGAGAGGACCCAGCTAGTAGATCGTGTTCTATGAGTTATCTTTTAGTAAAGCTACAAGTGCTGTTCCCTCTGTGTGTGTGACTGAGAGCTGTGTAGTGCTAATATGTGTTGTAGTTCAGGACCTGGACTAATCTGGGTGTACTCTGCAGCCTGGAGGATTAGTGATAATAAAAATGGCCTGAGGTTATTCATATAGATGGCTGCATGCAGGCTGTGTCCAAGTGGTCTTAGGGATGGGGTTACACAACTGGGACTGTGGCCTGAAGCACGCTTCTTCATGTCCTTTTTAGATTTTAAAATTAAAATAAAAATGTTTCCCCACTCTAGGTGACTCTTACTGCAGTGAGCTGGAGTCTAAACTGTTCCATACTTGAGAAGGTGTGGGAAGCAGGGGAGATGTGGAGTCTGTAATGCCAAGCTGTGCTCTGTATATTGCTCTTGGGCACTTTTTCAGTGTAGGACTAACTGACTTGTTATTAGGAGTTTGGGTTCCTCTACGTGGATGAAAATACCTGAGGATCAGGGCAGGTGGAGGAGGTCTAGTAGTGCAGTATAGAAGTTGGCAGAACACAAGCAGACAGAGGCCCAGTTGCATTACTCAATATTTACTGAGGGAGGAGAAATTCCCTCTGATAACTAATTATGGAGTAGTTGATTAAAACAGGGTAAAGGTAAGTGTCTATGTGTGTGTAAAGTGCTGAAGGGGAACACCTCTTTCATCTTTCCTGACCATCCAGCCCTCACTAGGAGGTGGGTCAGGATGGGAGGGAGTATTGCAGACACATGGGCAAGGACAACTTTTCCTGTTCCCAGGCAGAGCACAAATGGTCCTCCCAAAGACCTTAAAATCCAAGTGTCCCTCAATAGGAAAGACAAAAGAGAGCGTAACTGAGGAGACACTGCAGCACTAAATCTGGTGTGTTTTGCAGCTCTGGGCAGAAATGGCAGCCAGAAGTGGCAACACACCATACCCTGTGTCGGTATGATGGTATGATGAGGTGTCTCAAGAAAAACGTTGGCTGGTGTAGGTTCAACAAGGCCAAGTGCCAAGTCCTGCCCTTGGGTCCCACCAACCCCCTGCAGCGCTCCAGGCTGGGGGCAGAGTGGCTGGAGCTGCCTGGCAGAAAAGGCCCTGGGGGTGTTGGTGGACACCGGCTGAACAGGAGCCAGCAGTGTGCCCAGGTGGCCAAGAAGGCCACCAGCATCCTGGCCTGTGTCAGGAACAGCGTGGGGAGTAGGGCCCGAGAGGTGATTGTCCCCCTGGACTGGGCACTGGTGAGGCCTCACCTCAAGTACTGTGTCCAGTTTTGGGCCCCCTACCATAAAAAAAGACATCGAGGTGCTGGGGCATGTCCAGAGAAGGGCAACAAAGATGGTGAGGGGTCTGGAGAACAAGTCTTATGAGGAGAGGCTGAGGGAGCTGGGGGTGTTCAGCCTGGAGAAGAGGAGGCTGAGGGGAGACCTTATTGCTCTCTCCAACTCCCTGAAAGGAGGGTGTAGAGAGGTGGGGGTCGGTCTCTTCTCTCAAGTCACAGGCGACAGGACAAGAGGAAATGGCCTCAAGTTGCACCAGGGGAGGTTCAGGCTGGATATTAGGAAAAATTTTTTCCCTGAAAGGGTTCTCAGGCATTGGAATGGGCTGCCCAGGGAGGTGGTTGAGGCCCCATCCCTGGAGGTGTTCAAAAGACGGGTTGATGTAGTGCTGGGAGGTCTGGTTTAGTGATGATGCTCCTTGTTTGTTGTGTGGGTGTCTAGTTTTGTCAGTGAGGTTGACGGTTGGACAAGATGATCTTTAAGGTCCCTTCCAACCTAGAAGATTCTGTGATTCTGTGATTCTGTGATTCTGTAGTTGCCGTGTGGGGAATTACCTGGTGCTGTCCCCTCAAGGTCCCTCTGTGTTAGAAGACAGTGTGTTTATGTGCCAGGCCCTCTTGGTTGAGCAGATAACTTGAAGGCTTAGTTGTCTAATAGCTAACAGCTGGATAACTAGCTCTCAGCTGTTAGTGTGGGTGCTGGGTTCAGGTTTTGGGTTTAAAAAAACTGTTAAGTCTGTGAAGTCAGAGTTCTGAAAGTCACATCCACTAAAAGAAAAGCTTATGCGAATAATGTGACTAAGTAGATGGTGTCAAATTTTAGCCTGGTATAATTAGGTGGGTAGAGTATGTGAGCTTGAAAGCTTGGGCCTTGTGCTGTGACACTGAGCAGTGGCTAGGACTTTTTTTTTTTTTTTTTTTGGTTGAGTGATGTTTGCTCTACTCCTGTGTAATGCTGCCTTTTAGCTGTCTGGCAAACTCACCTCTGCCCGTGGCCAAGGGATTAAAGGCTGTTAAATGTTACTTCTGATTACAAGAAGGCCGAGTACATCACCTGAGCAGCATGTGTTTAGTTGTGTTCATGATAAATTGAGGTGCTGCCCAGGTCTTGGCTTACAGTAGCTTGTCCCAAGGCAGCTTGTGCGCAGGAGTGTCGTGTGACAGTGACAGCACAGGCTTGTGAGGCAAGACATTACAACCATGCTATCTCAGCTGTGCCAGCACCATCTTAATTAACCTTGAACCCTGGGCTGGTTTCAGCCAAGAACCAGGAGGAGCCAGCTGCTTGGCTGATCATAGAATCATCTAGGTTGGAAGAGACCCTTGGGATCATCGAGTCCAACCATCTACCCTACTCTACAAAGTCATCTCCTACACCATGTCCCTTAGCACTGCATCTAAAATGATGCTGAATTTAGGGCTGAATAAGGGTTCCCTGTGCTCCTGGGAACTGGAGAGAAGAGTGGTGCTTGTCTGATGGGTGCTGCAGAGTCCCCATGGCCAGTCTCTCTTGCCCAGGACCTGTCTCCCACCCCAGCAGCAGCAGGTTGGGCTGATGTTCCATATGATGATCCATAGTCCTGGATGTTTCACAGCTTGGAGGTTTAAGGGACTGACAGAGAGGAAAAACTGAACTGCAAACTAGAGCTCTGGTTTGGGTTTAAGCGTAGTCTGTCCTCCTAAATGTTTGATATGATGAGTGTTTGTATAATTTACATCCTGAAGGGCGTGTGGGTGATTGGGTGGGCCATATGAACAATTTATATTTATAGGCTAGTGGTAGGACAGTGTACTAGGATGGCCTGCTGCAAGCTGTGGAGTTCAGAGCTGAAGGTGTTCCTAGGTTTTGTTGCAGAGTGACATCTCTCTTCCACGTTGTTCTTTAGTGTCTACCTTAGTCATCTATGGGACTTGTATCTTGGACCTTCTGTGTTATCCCATATGCATGCTACAGTACAATATAAAGATTTTTTCCATGGCACTTGTAACTTAAATGTTGCCTGTGATAGTCACAGTGTTTTTCTCCTGGCAAGACTTTGTTGGGATGCAGATTTCCACACCGTGGCATGTGTATTTGTGGGAAAACATCTAGTAGCTTGAAACAGTTGGGTGCTTCCTCCTTTCCCCCTTTTTTTTTTTTTTTTTTTAATCTCAACATGAAAGCACAGAGATTATGCAACTCCTCAGAGGGTGTCTGACAGTGGCAACCTGAACTTTGACCTCTGTAGTCCTAGTTGGGTGTCTCAGGGGATGGTTTTTCTGGTTAAATGTTATTCTAGATTTCTTTAGTCATCAATTTCTGGAGCCAGGCTTGCTTACCAGAGAACAGCTACTTGATCTTTAGATTTAGCTTACACAATTTGTCCTTGCCTTTGAAAGCTCGGGTGAGAAATCGGTGCTTATCAGACCAGAAGTATAAAAAATGAAAAGGGGGGAGGAGAGGGAATATTTGCTATTTGCAGTTCTGAACTCCCCAGATTTCTTTTTCTATTGCCAGGCATTAATGTGGGCAGTTTAACTGAAACACAACGGTTAGTGCTGAACTAAATTATATCAAGACACCTAAATTATATGTAGGCACACATTTATTTGGGGTTTTTTTGAGGGTTTTTTCTTTGATTTAAACAAAAATAAAAAATATTAGGGGTTGGGTCCTGTCTATGCTTATAGAAAAGACTTGTGCTGTGAAGAGGGAGAGGTGCATTTGATTCCCTGCTGGTCCATGCCCAGATGTCAGGTAGCTGTTGTGGTCTGGGGCTTTGGCAGGTAGTAGGAGAGCATCTCTCAGCTGAATGTGATTGTGGGACACCAGGATGTCTGACAAGAGAAGAAGGGAATGGGGAAGCCTCCATGGAGGAGACTGAATGCCCTTAAAAACCCAAGGAGAAAGGAATGGGAAGGTCAAGGTCTTGGTTTCCTACGGAAGGGTAGGATGGTCTTGGATAAAGTTGCTCAGTTGAGGGCTTGGCAGGTGGTGGGAAAGGATTGGCCTTCTTGCCTCACCTTCAGTAGGCAACAGAGGTTGATGTATTTACTGCTCAAGGTGTTTGTGGGAGGAAAGGGAGCTAGAACTGGTCTACTGAAGAGTGTGCTGTGTTCAACTACCCATCTGATCTTGCCATCGTAGGAGGGGCTCTGGAGCAAATTTGTCTCCTCTAATAATGCAGAGCAGCAAGGGATTTGGAGGATGACTTTATTGCATAGAATTACTTCCTCATGGTTACCCTTTCCTTCCTCAAGGTATCATCGAACGGGATGAAACGCCGATGGAGAAAGAAATTGCGCGGCTGCATCGAGTGGACTTTGAATTCTCCGACATATTCTACTTCTGCAGAAAAGGGTTTGAGGCCATTGTGGAAGATGAAGTCACCCAGAGGTTTTCCTCTGAAGAGCTGGTCTCCTGGAATCTCCTCACAAGGACTAATGTCAACTTCCACTACATCAGCCTGAGGCTGACCATCGTGTGGGGCATCGGGGTGATAGTGCGGTACTGCTTCCTGCTGCCCCTACGGTGAGCTCAGGGGTGCCCAGGGATTTTGTCAGTCTGGGATCACACAAATGGGTGTTTTCTTGGGAAATGTCGCCTCAGCTTTTTGTAATCCAAAAGTGGCGTTAGCAGATACAGAAGATGAACTGGCTTAAACTCTCCTTTGAATGGTTAAGAAGCCATTCAGAACATTTTTATCTTGCCGTTTACTGTGGAGAGTAGATTAGAATCATAGAAGCACAGAATCATCTAGGTTGGAAGAGACCCTTGGGATCATCGAGTCCAACCACCTCCCCTACTCTACAAAGTCCTCCCCTACACCCTGTCCCTCAGCACTGCATCTAAACATCCCTTAAACACAGCCAGGGATGGTGACTCCACCCCCTCCCTGGGCAGCCTGTTCCAATGCCCGACCACTCTTTCGGTGAAAAATTCCTTCCTAATGTTCAGTCTAAACCTCCCCTGTTGGAGCTTGAAGCCGTTCCCTCTCGTTCTATTGTTAATTACCTGTGAGAAGAGACCAGCACCAACCTCTCTACAGTGTCCTTTCACGAAGTTGTAGAGAGTGATGAGGTCTCCCCTCAGCCTCCTCTTCCTCACACTAAACAGTCCCAACTCCCTCAGCCGCTCCTCATACGATTTGTTTTCCAGCCCCCTCACCAGCTTCGTTGCCCTCCTCTGCACTCGCTCCAGCACCTTGATATCTCTCTAATGGTCAGGTTTTTTTGTGAATACTTCCCCTAAGTAGTGTATTGGTGAGGGAAGTGTAAGTTGGGGCAAGCTCTGAAACTCCCTGGTGCTATATGCATTGGGGCATCTGAATCTGCTGCCTGTGCTAGACCATGATTTGGAACAACACGCCAGGGAATTACTGACTGACTTGACAGAAGCAGTTCTCTACCTGAGGAATAATTGAATTCCCACAATCCTTTCCCATTTTAAAGGGGAAAATGATATTAAAATGAGCAGACCTACTTACTTTCATTTTAATGTCTGTTTTATCTGCAGCTTTACCCTTGCTGCCATTGGGATTACCTCAATGATTGTGGGGACAACACTGGTAGGACAGCTGCCAAACAGCAGGTAGGTACTGTCTGTGGTGTGCGAGGGATGAACTTGACGAGTTGCATCAAGTGCAAACAGTTCAAGATCAGGACATACTTTACAAGTGTTAGACTGCTGATAGTCCACTCCACCTGGTGGCCTTGCCTTTAGTGGTGTTTTTGAACTTGGGCTGAGGTTGGCTTCTTTCCAGGCTTGACTAAGAGGTTGGTGGTTTCTGATGGGCTCCACTTGCTGGCATGAGAGACTCAAAGGGAGCATTGTAGGGAACGTAACGGTGGCTGGGATTAAAAATACCCGGTGAGGAGGAGATGACAGCCTTGCCTAGGAAAGTGAGACCAAGGATATGATGTGTCTTGGCTGAGCTGCTGTAGTGAGTGATAGAGTTGGGGAATATCCCTCTGTTCCGGAGTACCAGGAAAATATCAGCCCTGAGTTGTGTTGAGTAAGTTGGAGAATGTTGCGTGCGTGTCTAGCTGCTTTCCAGGATCCTCCTGATGCTTGTCATTTCTTTCAGGGTGAAAAACTATCTGAGTGAAGTGGTCCACCTCACGTGCTCCCGCATCCTTGTCAGAGCTCTGTCTGGTACTATCCATTACCATAACAAGTGAGTAAGCCCAACTTTATGGTAGCAAAAACGTGTGTGTCCTCCTACATGTGTGAGTATCCCATTTGAAATGGGGTGGCTGGTTCCTGCCATGCAGGTTAATGTCACTCTAGATGCTGACACACCTCACAGCTTTATGGAAGTGTTGTGTGTCATGTGGTGCTTAGTGCATTAGTAGTCTAACAAAAAAAAATAATTGTGTAATTGCAGGGAAAACAAACCTCAGAAGGGAGGAATTTGTGTCGCCAACCACACATCACCGATAGATGCGATCATTTTGACAAATGATGGATGCTATGCAATGGTATGAGGACTTCCATGATGAACACGGCAGAGGGAGAGGGACCAGGAAAGGGAAAGATGGCAGGGTATTGGTTATGGAGTTCAATTTTTAACTTTCACAGTAGAGATGTTGAGTACTATTTAGTGGGGAAAAGTATGAATTGTGTTGAAGCTGGTCACAGAATCACAGAATGGTATGGGGGTTGGAAGGGACCTCTGGAGATCATCTAGTCCCACCCCATGACAAGTCAGGGCCACCCAGAGCAGGTCCCACAGGAACGTGTCCAGGTGGGTTTGAATGTCTCCAGAGATGGAGACTCCACCACCTCCCTGGGCAGCCTCTTCCAGACCTCTCTGAGTGCCACCCTCAAAGTGGCATCGTTCCACAAGTTATGTGCTGGTGAAGTTGTCCAGGTGGTGTCATAGAATCATAGAATCATATGGGGTTGGAAGGGACCTCTGGAGATCATCTAATCCAACCCCACCACTGGAGCGGGTCTTCCTACAGCACATTACACAGGAATGTGTCCAGGTGGGTTTGAATGTCTCCAGAGAAGGAGATTCCACCACCTCTCTGGACAGCCTGTTCCAGTGCTCTACCACTCTCACAGTAAAGAAGTTCCTCCTCATGTTTAGGTGGAACTTCTTATACTCAACGCTAGGCTCTTCGTGTGGTGAAACACTTGAGATGCTTCCACGTGTGTAGAGATCCTTTCGAGGGAATGTGTTTTAATAGTTTCTGTGGGCACTTCCCAATCCTGGTTTGCAGTTTCCAGTGTATTTGTGTTTGGTTTTTTTTGCGGGGGATGTAGAATAAGTAGTTCTGGTGCTTTTCTGGCGTCTTGTGTGCTGATGTGCCTCATTGGGCCTGCAGGTCGGCCAGGTTCACGGTGGGCTCATGGGAGTTATTCAGAGAGCCACGGTCAAGGCCTGTCCTCACGTCTGGTTTGAACGCTCGGAAATGAAAGACCGCCATCTAGTGACAAAAAGGTGAGGTGAGGGTTGGAGCACGGCATGGCAATGCTGGTGTGACACCGGGATCTAGTGCCTGAGGTGTAATCCCCAAAAAAATCTCTCAGCAATCAAAGACCTAGATCACAGAATCACAGAATCTTCTAGGTTGGAAGGGACCTTAAAGATCATCCAGTTCCAACCCCCTGCCCTGGGCAGGGACACCTCCCACCAGACCAGGTTGCTCCAAGCCCCATCCAGCCTGGCCTTGAACCCCTCCAGGGATGGGGCAGCCACAGCTTCTCTGGGCAACCTGGGCCAGTGTCTCACCACCCTCACAGCAAAGAATTTCTTTCTGGTATCTCATCTAAATCTCCCCTCTTCCAATTTAAAACCGTTCCCCCTTGTCCTGTCACTGCACTCCCTGACAAAGAGTCCCTCCCCAGCTCTCCTGTAGCTCCCTTCAGATATTGGAAGGGGCTCTAAGGTCTCCCCGGAGCCTTCTCTTCTCCAGGCTGAATAACCCCAGCTCCCTCAGCCTCTCCTCATAAGACTTATTCTCCAGACCCCTCACCAGCTTTGTCTCCATCTTTGTTGTAAGGAATTAAGGCTTTGGAAAGGAATTGTTGTAAGGAATTAAAGCTTTGGAAAGACAGGAGCCCAAGAAGCTGATGAGGTTGCAATGGGAAATGGGGAACTTGGAACCTTGGGATCTCGAGAGGGCAAAAGGCTGACTTGCAGAAACATCTTTTAGCAGGAGCCGTATCTAATTGTCCTGTTCCAAATGACGACTGCTCCTTATGAATGCTAATCACAAGGATACGAGCTCTCTGTAATTGCACTTTACTGTGGGCTGGAAGGATGCAGGGTATTGCAAATTGTTAGTTGTCGTTAGAATCACAGAACGGTTAGAGTTGGAAGGGATCTTAAAGATCATCCAGTTCCAACCCCCTGCCCTGGGCAGGGACACCTCCCACCAGACCAGGTTGCTCCAAGCCCCATCCAGCCTGGCCTTGAACCCCTCCAGGGATGGGGCAGCCACAGCTTCTCTGGGCAACCTGGGCCAGTGTCTCACCACCCTCACAGCAAAGAATTTCTTTCTGGTATCTCATCTAAATCTCCCCTCTTCCAATTTAAAACCGTTCCCCCTTGTCCTGTCACTGCACTCCCTGACAAAGAGTCCCTCCCCAGCTCTCCTGTAGCTCCCTTCAGATATTGGAAGGGGCTCTAAGGTCTCCCCGGAGCCTTCTCTTCTCCAGGCTGAACAACCCCAACTCTCTCAGCCTGTCTTCTAGGAGTAGAAGCAGCCAGTATAGTAGTGGCACAACAGCAGTTCTTGGAGTGAGTTGAAGGGGTGGTATGCACCAAAGTGAAGCATTCGGAATGACCTAAGGATGCTTGCTTGGGTGCAGTAGAACTTTGCTCAAAATGTCAGGTTCCCAGGTCACCAGGGAAAGCTTGGAAGTTTATACGGAGTGAAATGGTTCAGATCAAAGGTTCTGGTAAAGTCTAGATTGCAGCAGGCTGTCACAAAACATCTCATTTGAGCAGCCATCAGCATAATAACAAATATCTGATGAATTCAGATATGCATTTTGAAAGGAAGTGAAAATACTTCAAATTCTGGGACTATCTGTGAAGATAAATACTGATTATTTTTTTTTTTAAAGGGCTTTCTGTAACACAAACTTTCTTATGTCACTTGAAATTGTGGGCCACTAGAAATGAAAAGCTTTGCTTGTTTGGCTGAGGGGCAAAAACGTGTTTAATTATAAAACTGAGCTGCTTAGAAAAGTAGTTTTCTCTAAAATGTCACCAAAGACATTCCCATAAAGACTGTAGTAGGGTGGTAGAAATTCTTCCTAATTTTTAAAGAACCTTTAGGTTTGTTTTGATGTAACTTCTTCACCACCTCATTGACTTCACTTTGCCAGCTCATCCAAGTGTTATTCAAGTAGTGTGAGCTGTAGGCATTTAGGAATTATCTTCCTAAGAAATCTGCTGGTAAGTAAGCAGAATCTGGACAGACCACTGCACTTCAAACAATTTGCATTTCAAACAAATGTGTTATATGTAGAGATATTTTTAATGCACCTGCCTTGAGAAAGAAGAGTGGAAAGGAGCTGTTTTTAAAGCTTTCCTTTTGCTTCCACAGACTGAGGGAACACGTGGCAGATAAAAGCAAGCTCCCGATCTTAATTTTTCCAGAAGGTAAGAAGCTGAACTGTTCCTTATCTCCATTCAGTGTTAACGTCATCCCTGTTCTCTTTTCATGGTTTCTGGTGCTCAAATGTGTCTTCACCTCTGCCTTTTAGATTTGATTTAGGGCATCCTCTTTTTAATCTTTGAGATTCCATGAAGGCAGCACAATGCTGTCCCTGGCTGTTGGGTCTCCTGGCAGAACTTATAGGCAGAAGACTGGGAAGATTGTTTCTTCTGCCCTGTGAATGCCCTGCTTCAGCAGGGGAGTTGGACTAGATGATCTCTATGCTCCCTTCCAACTCTAAAAATTCAGTGAAATTCAGTGAAATATCTGTTCATTGTCCTACAGACCTAACCGTAACCTCGTGCTTTGTGTCTCACACGTGTCCTGGCTTCATTCAGGGAGTCAGTCACAACACAAAGGATGAAAGCAAGCAGGGCAGAGATGCTTAACTTACCTATGAAGCATCTGCCTTTGTTCCTCAGGGAGTAGAAGACTTGTGTGTTGGTGTAGTGTTGTTACTGAAAGGTGTGAAATAATGACTTCAGTTTCTGCTCTGGACAGGCACCTGCATAAACAACACATCTGTGATGATGTTCAAGAAGGGGAGCTTTGAAATAGGAGGCACGATCTATCCTGTTGCAATCAAAGTAAGTGGGAATGGCTGGCTGCTGTTTCAAAGTTTGGGATCTGTTTTTTTGTCAGGGTGGTAGGAAGCTGTCTCAGCACAGTAGCTCTGGTAAGTGGCTACATGCAGTGGGTGACTCCTAGAGTCTTAAGTGGCTGAAATGAGAAGGTAAAAGTCCTTCAGCCCGTGGAGCCTGGTTGGTGTGACCTGGTTGGGGTCACCTTCTTCCTCCAGAAAGCTGGGGAAGGAAGATCTAGCTAGTCTTTCCCAGTGCTGAAGGGAAGAGAATCCTGCAGCTAGCAGCAGACTTAGCTCTTTTGGCTGTTTGGGCAAATGGGGGAAGTCTGCTGCTGGTTTTGTCATGTAATGACAATAAACACAGGCTAATTTTTATAAAGCCTCATTCTAAGCAAACATGTCGGTTGTGAATTTTCCTCTTACTCTGGCATGTGACTGAAAGCACCCACCTCGTTTCCGAGACGGGCCGTGATGGTTTTGTGGGGAAAGGGTTTTATCACTTATGCCTTTTGTGATCCCTCACAGTATGACCCTCAGTTTGGAGACGCCTTCTGGAACAGCAGCAAATACAACATTGTGAGCTATCTGCTGCGCATCATGACCAGCTGGGCTATCGTTTGCAACGTCTGGTACATGCCACCCATGGTTAGAAAGGTAATCAAGCATCTCATTTAAGAACCTGTTTCTGCAAGTACCTTTTTTTTTTTTCCCTCCCCCAAAGCCCCTACTCACCCCACGTCTCCAAATCAGAGTTTTTATACTGGACTTTTAGTGTTGACTTTGTATGATTGGACTTAGGGTTTTTCTGCTGCAGCTTGGTACCACCATCAGTGGATCAGATATGCACAGGATAGCAGTACAATATACTCCTGTTAGCAGTAGCAATGCTGTTAATGTTCCATCCTGTTGGAACAAAATTTTTTCCCTAATTTCCACGCGCTAGGAGAAAAATTAGCTAAATTATTATCACATCAGAACATCAGATTGTGTTGGCGGCATTATGAGGGACAGATTGCTTGGCAGTGAGCTAGTCTGATGAGGCAGCAGATGAAAAGTTTTATGGAAGCCCGTTTCAATTCAATTCTCTCTGCTTTTATGTTGAATTTATGACCCTTGAAGGACGGTGAAGATGCTGTTCAGTTTGCCAACAGAGTGAAGTCAGCCATTGCTCGCCAAGGAGGACTGACTGAACTTCCCTGGTGAGTGATGCCATCCTGGTTAGACTTCATGGACTAGCTGCTGTTAGTTTGAGAGGTCCTTCCTCCCTTAGCTTTGTGACATTAAATATTCAGTATAACTTTATTCCACTCAAGAGAAAATGGAGTCATTTCACACACGTGTATATGAAAGCAAAATTAAAAAAAGATGTATAATATCTTGGGAACGTGTAGCTCTCGTGCAGTGAGTTTCCCCTAAAGGCTTGATGCTTTTGAAGAGGGTCCTTTTACAGTTGTTTCTCGTGTTTAGACTCACGCTGAGATTGAGGAGCAGAAGTGAAGTTACATCAGCAAAGCTGATGGACAACAAAACAAAACACAGGGCTTGAGGCTTTCTGCTCTGGCTTTCTCATGTCCTAACTCAGTAGTAGCATAATGCCTAGATTTCATAGAACTGTATGAAACAAACTTGAGAGCAAGATTCAGATGAAGAGAATGAGAAGATTCAAGTATGAGGCCCAGCTGGCTTTCTGAATGATGTAAGGCAAGAGACAGCTATGATGTTGCACAAGGTTGCCTCCACAGCCTAGGGAAGTAGCATCCTAGGCTGGCAGAGACTTCTATGGTAGGTACAACCTGTTATCAACCTCAGCAGATTACTTTAATAGGTTAAATTCAAAATTAGAACTGCATAAGCATTATGGCTTAAGGTAAATGTTTTGATAAGTGTGCTTAAGCTTGGATACTCCAGAAGTTCTGAGGAAAAGCCTTCGTAATAATCTTTTAGGTTAAGAATTTAGAGTTGACCAAGATTGTGATCACTATTGTTATCAAACTATGTATTATTTTAACTATCATGATGGCTTACTTTTCTGTCTTGCTCTGTTCCAGGGATGGGGGTCTGAAACGAGCGAAAGTCAAAGATACTTTCAAAGAAGAACAGCAGAAAAACTACAGCAAGATGCTAGTGAGAAATGGATCAATAGGAAGCCTGTCAACAGGAACAGAGTCAGACTGAATGGTGGTTCTTGAAAACTAATTTTGCACAACCAGCCTTAGCAGGAATAATGTTTTTAATTAAAAAAAAACAACAACAACAAACCCACAAAAACTGAAGCAACGAAATCCCTCATCCTGTGTACGCATATTCTCTGTGTGGCTGGTGCAGAGCCTGCCAAAGGCAGTGTCTCTGTATCTCTCCCTCCCTTTTCACTCTTCCCACTCCCCTTATCTCCTCCCCATCTTTATGTGATGATGCACTGCAGCTCCTGGTATTCTCTAGCTGAATGTGTGGAGAGTTAAGAGGCAAAAGGAAGAAAGCACACCACAGCTTTTCCTGAGTTTGTAAGTATGAAGGGAAGTACACTGATGCTGCCAGGACACTGGTTGTGAAGATACCTCTTGTTCATGGTACTTTGAAGCTTTAAACATAACCAAATTTTGTCTCTTTTTCCTGTTGCTCACAGACTTTTAGTTGTAGATGACTCTGACAACATCCTAAAACATGTTATTTGAGCTGTGAGGTTGACTCTTTTGGTTAGCTTGCACGTGGGTGTGCAAGGGGGGGGAAAGGAAGCAAGGGCTTCAGACCCTAGAGAATGGGAAAGGAGCTGCCAAAAGCACAGTTCATGGACTCTGAGGAATTTGGTGGCCTTATAACATGGTATTGCCTTTATTGATAACTGCTGCCTGTGGGAAGATAAGGGGCAAGTCCTCAAATCTCCCTCAATGTCCACTGCAATTTTTGAAATGGCTTTCTTGAGAATCTGGAGCTTTAAAAGAAGGGAAGATACAGCAAGCAGCTGGATAATGTAGTCTGACAGACGAATTTTTATGAAGTGGGTTTTCAAGACTATCCTTCTGCAAAAATTGCTGCTAATGGCTTTAAAGATCTCGAGAGAGAGCCGCTCCAGAAACACGTTGTGTGTTGGTCTGGGCTAGCAATAGCTATCACAACTATCAACATAGGATCCGTAAGTCACCTCTGATACAACACGTGGCATGTGCAAATCTGCAATATATTGCTGTCTGAACGTAAAGAGAAATAAATTCTATATTTCTAATGGGTCTCGTGTGGCATTTATCCTCTTTCCTAAATTGTGTAAATAAGACAGTTACACTTCCTGAAAACTTGAAATTAGGGTCATGGAAATGTCAGTTGCTGTGACATAAAGGACCAATTGTAGTTGAGCTGTTACCTGATTTCTAACCTGACTTTTTCCCTTTCCACCCCTCAGACTTAGGAGCGTACACGTCTCGGTGTTGATGTTTTCTAGACTAGGAGTGACTCCTCATGCAGTCTGAACTTGAAGTTACAACATGAAGTCACAGCAGGGAGACTCAACTAATGAATCTATAATTAACTGGAAAACAACCATGAGCTTCTAAACTTGTAATGAGCTGAGTTCATTTGTAAGTAGTCTTTTCCTTTAGCAAAGTAACTTTCAATTTAATACTGGAAAAAAAATAAAATGAATTATGGTTCCACAGCTGGTAAGTTTAAAAATCTCTTGGAACAGTTAACCAAAAAAGGGTTCCTGGTTCTATTTTCCACTATCCCTCAGTCCATGCACTTACACAAGGACAAATACACTTATTAATTGAATATTATATAGGCATGCAGCATACTGTACTTTGGGAAACTGGTTGTGAAGCCCGTTGGAGGTGTGTGACCTTGGAGCTCTCAGAGAAGTCCTTTTAGGTTTAGCATAGCAGGCCTTTAAGAATAAAATTGCTTATATTAAAAGGGGTTAAAGTGGTAAGACAAGTGAGATGAAGCAAAGGTTTTTTGTTTAATGTGAACCTGGTTGAACTTTTGAGTTATATTATTACTATTAAGATGAACTGGTCGTGCAGGCTTTGGGCTAATGAATGTGTTAGTCATAATTTATGGATATTAGCTGTGAGCTTGAGCTTTCCTGGATTGCCCTCATGGTAGGAAGCTTTGTAAGGGCAACTCACCTTCTTAAAAGCATGCCTACACACAGAAAATAAAATAAGATTTAAGTAATGTATTTAAAAATTTATTGTGTATAAATACTGGTGTGTATATAAGTACCATAATTCTTACAAGGTATGGATTGTGATGTATTTTACTGTAGGGGGAACAAGAATTGTTTTGGTGAAGGCTTAAATACATGAGTCCTAAGAGACTCTTCACAGTCAGCTTATGGGCTGATGTCCTTGCTTGCTTCTTGCTTTTGGAGTTGATCATCAGTAATTCAGCCGCAGTGTCTTTTGAAGACTAAACTGTGCTGACTGGGATGCCCTGTTGGGTGGAAATGGTGACAGCAACAGGATTGTGGGCTTTGGGAAAAGTGTCAAAGGCTGCAGTTTGCTTCTTCCTTAGGTGGTGGAGTCACCATCCCTGGAGGGATTTAAGAAACGTATAGACATGGCTCTTCAGGGCCTGCTCTAGTGCCCAAGGTTATTGGTTTATGGTGAGGTGTTGAGTGTGGGGTTTAGTTGGTGGGTGCGGTGTTTTTGGTGGGCGTTTGGTGTGGTGTGTTTTGTATTTGTTTGGTGATTTTTTTTTTTTTTTTTTTTTAGTTTTGCACCTAACTTTTTAGGGGGTTTTTTTTTTTTTTTTTTTTTTTTTGTGGTTGGACTCGATGATCTCAGAGGTCCCTTCCAACCACTAAGATTCTGTGATTCTGTGACTGGATTTTAAGGCAAGAAGCCCTGCTAAGTCAAAGGATGATGATGGCAATAAGGCAATACAATGGTGTTGTAACAAAACGTTGTTTGACAGGCCAAATGGAGTGATGTTTTTAGAAACTGTGTCTTCAACAGATGTACAAATAGCCTTTACTGAACCCATTGTTTAATAATCTGCCTTAATTTGGTGATGATTTATTAAGAAAAACTGTAGAGTGGCACTAAGGATTGCATGAGTAAAGTGTATTTGTGTGGCCATGAGAAGAGGCATCACTCAGTTCTTAATTGCTGCCTGAGTGGAGAAGATGCAGGCAAATGAATAAGCCTGTGAGGTTTCTTGAACCTGCAAAATGTGATCTTGCTTGGCCTTTGCATTCCTGGCAAGACTCGATAGATTTTTGGTGTTGTATCCTTAGACTTCTCATACGGCTCTGAAAATGTGTTCAGGGAGACTGAATGTGCAGTTGTGACTACTAATAGATGGTTCTAGCCCATATCCCACATTTGTTAGAGACACTTTCTTTGAGTGGTTTGGAAGTGAGACTATTAACTTCAGAGAAGTATTTTTATAGGGCAGCAGCGTATATACCATGATGCTAATAGCAGAAGGACAGCAAATAGGAGATACCACTTGGCTCAAAGCTAGTTGAGCTACTCTCTTCTTTCTGCTGCCTTTGGAAAGCTGCTTGTGCCATTGGTTTTTTTTTTTTTCCATTTTCCCCTGATGGATCTGGGAAATACTGCAGCTGAATTGGGTTGGATCATTAGAGGCATCTCAAGAAATTCCTGCAGCAGCTGAATTTGAAGCCTTAGTTCTCTAGTGCTGGGCACATAATGCATACTCAGGTCCTTGAATAAGAATTAATGCTCTACTTCTGTTTAGATTTAGAGAAAGACCTTTGTGTTTAGAGAATGGGTGAGCCCTTACAAGCTCTGACAAAACTTGTATGTTCCTCACTGGCTATGGGCAAAAAAAACACCAGGTACTTGGTTTTAAAGGTGATGATGGAACCCAATTAAAATGTCATTAATTCTTTTCCTATTGCTGAGATGCCATGCCTTGAGCATAGTAGGTGTAGCCAGGGGTTCTGTTTGTATCCTGTTAAGTTGCTCTGCCTCTAATATATTAAATGTCTGCAGGTTGTCGTCATGCTTGGTGATGAAAATACTCAAATTTAGAGTCCTTAAAAAGTTGTTAGGGAAAACTCAGTATTTGCTCTGGAAGCTCCTGGGCCAACATATAAATTATGTTTTTTAACCTGAGATTTAAGGTACTTAAATGTTCTTGTCCTCTCTACTACTGAAGAGATCGATAGAGATTTCTGGCTAAGACTTAGGTCTCCCTCCCCCACCCCCAATATTTATCTGATAGAACTAAGCACCAGGCTGGCAAATGTGGTATTCCTACTCTTCTTTGGTTTGACTAGTTCTTCTCAAGGAGTGGACAGTCCAGATATTATCTGATCTGCAAATTCTCACTTGAGGAATGGAAAGGATTTTAAGCAGGATTGAGCATGAGTATTTAAGGAAAGACCAGAAAGATACATAATGAAGATGAAAGCAGACTTCAGCCATGAAACCTTGTCCAAGGAACTAGTACTGATGCCCTGAAAGTAAGTAACCCTAGTTACTGATTTTTTTTGGGTGGATGTTGGACATGAAGTAGCTGTTGGATAAACAAAAAAAATTATCACTACTAGCACTAGGAAAGCCTGATTTAATATGCAGTTGTGCCTCAACTTAAGACTGCGATCTCTAATTGAAGCTGTGGCATAATATGGTGTTTTCATACAATCATAGAATGAATTTGGGTTGGAAGGGACCTTTTAAAGTGATCTAGTCAAGGGCCCCTGCACTGAGCAGGGGCATCTTGAACTAGCTCAGGTTGTTCAGAGCCCTGTTGAACCTGATTTTGAATGTTTCCAGGGCTGGGGCATCTACCACCTTTCTGGGCAACCTGTTTCAATTTTTCACCACCAAAAAAAAAAAAAAGATTTCTTATGTCTAGTCTGAATCTACCTTTTAGTTTAAAACCGTTACCTCTTGTCCTATTACTACAGGCCCTAACAAAAAGTTTGTCCCCATGTTTCCTGTAAGGCCCACTTTAAGTATTGAAAAGCTGCAATAAGGTCTCCCCAGAGCCTTCTCTGCTCCTTGCTGAACAACCCCAACTCTTGCAGTCTGTCCTCAGAGGGATGGAACACCTCTCTATGATCATTTTTGTGGCCCTCTGGACTCACTCCCACAGGTCCATGTCCTTTCTGTGTTGAGGACTCCAGAGTTGGACACAGAGCTCCAGGTGGGGTTTCACCAGAGCAGAGGGGCAGAACCATCTCCATTAACCTGCTGGCCACGCTGCTCTTGATGCAGCCTAGGATGTGGTTGGCCTTCTGGGCTGCAAGTACACACTCCTGGCTCATCTCCAGCTTTTCATCCACCAACACCCTCAAGTCCTTCTTGGCAGGGCTGCTCTCAGTCCCTTCATCCCTCAACCTGTGTTGATACTGGGGTGTTGCCAATGAGCCAGGTGCCACTTGACCTTGTTGAACCTTATGAGGTTCACATGGGCCTGCTTCTCGAGCTTGTCCAGGTCCCTCTGGATGGCATCCTGTCCCTCAGGTGTGTCAACAGCACTACTCAGCTTGGTGTTGCCTGCAAACTTACTGAGGCTGCCCTTGATTGCCCTATGTCATTTATGAAGATATTAAATAGTACTGATCCCACTAAGGACCTCTGGGGCCCATCACTTGGAGCGTGGATGTTGGCCAGTGTGTTATGCAAAATGTGGTTCTTGACTCAGCCAGGTGTGAGGTCATGTAGTTGGGCTGGGAAGCTGCTAAAAAGTTGGGGGTTTTTCAGACTGATTTGGATGACAAACGAGCTGCTCAAGCCTGACAGTGAGGGTGAGCTCTTGGTTTTCTCACAGCTGTGCTTCTTGGCACTGCTGCTCCTGAAAAATGTGTCTGTGCCATTACCAGCTCTGGTTTGTTCCCATCTGGAATGTGGTGGGTTTTTTTTTTTTTGTTTCCCTGAAATGAACATAAAAGGCAGAAATGTGACCTCAAGAGTCAAAATACAGACTCCAATGATTGGTCACTGTCTCCATCTTTTTATTAGATTTTCTGAGGCTGTTTTTTCCCTGATTTGCTGGATAAAATCCATACAAATGAAATACAAGCTCAGTCAGTAAATAATAATGAAAAGGTAAATTCATTTTACAGAGAAGCCAGTGCATGCAAGGCATCATCTAGAATGATGGTGAGTTCTGGGTTTTTTTTTTTTTGCACAGATCATGAAGCTATTACAGTCTTTCAAAATTAATATTGGGCTTTTAAGCTCTGTAACGGTTTGTGTGACCTCCTCTTACCCTTTTGCTAATAAGAAAAATGATACTGTTTTTAAATAG